AGGCCTCTAATCACTAACAATCAATCATAACCCTCAATAGAATGGAGATTCAAAGTTGGGCAGGTAGAACTCTTTAAATATAAAGAATACCTCTAATGTGGTAAAACATGCCAAACTGCAAGTACAACTTGCTCAAATATATTCTTGATAGGAACTGTAGATGCCAGGTGCTTTAAATGCCCTAGACATTTTCAGGAGGAATAATTGTAACTGAATCAATAATTTAAGGTACATTTTCATTGGCTGATTGGTGATTTTTTTTTAAAATTTGGTTATAAAGAGTTTAAAAATATATATGAATATGCTTTTATCCATTTTCTTTAATAATATTTCTGAACAATTACTCAATATTTGTTTCCTAAATTGTCTGAAATATCTAGTACATTACAGTACAAATATGAACTTGTTATCAACTTGAAAATTTGTTTTTTTCCTTTATTAAGATCTCCATTTTCACTATCTTATAGTACAAAAGGTTCTGGTTATTCTACTTTTGTGATAGTCAATATTGAATTTAAAAAAAAACTTTAACAAGTTCACCTTTGTGGCCGATTTTGTATTTTGTAATAAAATGTAACTTGAAACTCATTTTACTGAAAACAAACTTGATATTATTAATTTCACTCTGTAGACCTGTATAGCCCAAATATTTAAAAAAAAATCTTTTTTACTTTACCTCAAAGAATTCTCAAATTTCTGCACAACAGAAAACAGTTTTTGTTTCAAATAAAAAATAAAACAGGATTAGCAATAGCTGAGTAGTGCCAATAAAACAAGAAATATATACCACCATAGATTGACTAAAGGGTTCAGTTCAAAATTTCCTGAAGATTATCTGAATCAACAGAAACCTGAAGAAAGGTACAACAGGTGAAATATTGTGATAGCAACAACAAATATGAGGACATTAGTTTGACTGTGTATAATGTAAATAATTATGTATTGATTGGCTTAGGTTATCAAAGTATCTGTGTATTCTGCCACAAATCAAAGTATCATTCTCCAGCACTTCTGCCTAAGATGTATTATCTGTGTACTCTTTGAAAAGTCATATACAGACACACACAGGGATAGTGTGTACTACCCTTAACGCACTGATCGTAGGGGGTGAGCAAGCCTGACTGAGGGCCTTGAGCAGTGCTTTATGACCCGTGCTATCTTATCAATATTTGCTTTTTTAATACCTACATTTATATACATTACAAATTAAACTAAGCAAAACTGACTTTTAAAGGATGAAAAATTTTGCAGATTTTTATGGCATTCTGTCTTTTTTTGTCAAAATCTGTGAATTTATTTTGCTCATCATAAGTGCTGAAAAAAGCACAATATAAAATTATTTTTATCCATAATGTTGAATGTTATAATTATTCAACTTTTTAACAAGAAAAATCTTAAATTGATGTTAAAAATTGACACAAAACATTCATTTATTTAAGACATTATATGTATTTGTATTCAGATACATTGCATTTATTTTCAATTTTTCTAGTTGAATTGTTTATGTATATTGCATATGATTCATTATTGTATATAATCAGGTTCCAATAAAATTTGGATTTCATATGAATACTACCTTATGAAAACTGTGATGTAGTAGAGTGTGTGTGTGGGGAACCTGTATCATAAATTAGAGTTGGGGCATGAGACTCTTGCACCAGCCCTGTATATGCCATTATATATATATATATATATATATATATATATATATATATATATATATATATATATATATATTGCATTTCATATATGTGGATATAATAATTAAAAATTGTACAATCTTTCAAACAAAAGGTATAATAATATATTTAAAATAACTTTATTTCAACTTCGTTATCCGTGTTTTGTATAAAAACTCTTTAATATTCAGTTATTTAAGTTTAATGTTTGCATTCAGATCTAATCCAATTATAAAAATATCTTTTTAAAAACTTAGTATTATCTCTTTAAAGTACAAAAAATTAATATAAAAGTCTATGTACATACACATACATACTAAAAGACTAATTTCTAAACTTATTTTAACATTTCTGAAAACCATAATCAGGATTAATACCATTGTCCATACTCATGTCTGGCTTGAACCTCAGGACGTGGATGGTCATGAGTCTACACAACTTTCTATTCTTCTTAGCTCCAAGCAAAGTTTCCTTATTATCCCTCCCAGTCCCTGTTCTGTTATCTATTTACACAATCTTGTTAGTTTTTCCTCTTACCTTTAATATGTCCTGTGAGTATCAAATTCTTCAAACCCACTTTCTTCATAATATAACCCAGAAACATCACCTGTTTTTTATCAATCCTAAGCAAAAGTGTCCTTTTCATTCTCATTTCCTTAAAGCTTCCTTGTTACTTACATGTTCTGTCCATGGTATTCTCAGCATTCTTCTATGGAACCACATCTCTGTTGTCTCAAATCTCAATTTCATCTAAGGAAATTGTCCAGCATTCACTGCCATATAAGAGGAATGATATTACATAGCAGTTCAGCACTCAAGTAATGAACAAATTAAACATGGTGAGAAAATGTTTATGATAGAAGGATAAATCTACAAAAATAATCTCCTGTATGTAAAATATATTTATTATTATTTACTTTAATCTAGATCTTTTTTATTCCCTAAATTATTAAGGTGCTCAAAAGTTTTTAAAATCTTCTTTTCTTTTTATGTGCCATGTCCTTTTAGGACATAGGTGATCATGGCTCTCTATCTCCCTTTATCCTTTGTAGCTCTCAACAAGTTCCTTCCTTCTGCTTCCCCGCTCCCAGGCCACATTCTGTCATCCACTTGCTTAAGTCCACCAGGTATCTACCGTGTTGTTTTCCCTTGTCTCTATTTCCCTCTATTCGACCCTCAAATATCAGATTCTCCAGGCCTTCCTTCCTCATTATGTGTCCCAGAAACTTCAGCTGCCTCTTTCTGATATTAAGTATAAGCACCCCTCCTTTTTTGCAACCTCTCTAATATCTCATTGTTGCTCATATGCTTGGTCCATGATAACCACATCTCTGTCGCTTCAAGTCTTTTCTTCATCTTTGAGGAAATCATGCAACATTCACTGCCATAAAGAAGGACAGAACTGTTTTAAAATCTACTTTGTTTTTATCATAGTTAAAATACATCTTTTTACCTTTATTTTTGAAATTGTCATTAAACCAATATTTATTAAATTTATATCTATAAGAATAAAGTTTAAGAAGTTGTTAATTCTATTAATTATAGAAAGAATAAAGTTTAAAAAGTTGTTAATTTTATTTTTAAGTTGTGTTGTTTTATGCATTTTGGTGCCCGTCGCCAGTGTTTTCAGTTGGAGTGAGCAGGGAGTCTATAAGTCAGGGGGCTGCTTGCAAGAATTTGTACACTAAAATTAGTTCCCCATCATTTTCACATGGTGGTGGGGGAGTCCTCCTATAAGAAATTGTTTCAAGTTTCATTCATTAAAATAATCACCTGATCACACTTCCCTACAGCATGAATAATTTTAAAAAAAAGAATATCTCTAACTCAGGACGGTTGTTCTAAGCAGATTTTCATCTAAAAGCCTCATTTTTTTTTTAACACTACTACACAGTGTGCGTGTTTAATAATTTTATTTATTAATAAAAAAAATATTTTAGGTAAAAAATTTAAAAGTTTTTTTATTCTTTCTAAGCAAGATGAAAAAAATACTATTTTATCGAATAATGTTTTTTTTTTTTATTTCTTAATATTGCAATATTGATTTCATTTTGAAACATTGACTTAAAAAAAGTTAAAATAAAAATCAATACCCAAGGCTATCTTTTTAATTTCGTGTTACTTTGCTTGCATCTTTATTGTTTTATCATAATTTTAAATTATACTTTCAGATAAAAAAATAAGCATTATTTCATTTTTTTTTTTAATATTTTTAAAACACGTGTGTTTTTCTGCCTTTTTTTTTTCATGTTTTTTTATTATTATTACTTCTCTTGATTGTTTTTTTAAACTATTGAAATAGTTTCTACGTCAAACTTCGTAAATGAAAAAAAAAAAACAAAAAACATTTATATCCTCATTTGCTTTAGTTCAGATTTATGAAAACTTGAATTTAAAATAAATTTCTGTTCAGTTTCAACAATCGATTTAAAAACTAATTTCTTTACCTTGGATTATCTCAGAATCGATTTATTAATTTATAAAGCTTCTAAAAAATTTCTAATACTATTTAAATTTGTTTCTGTAGCAACTTTTTATTTATTATCCTTGACTTAAACAAACTTTAAAAATGTGTAACATTTCCCTGTGTAGTAAAAAAAGAGTAAGCTAAGCTGAAGCAAGTCATATTGGTTACAGGAAGAGCTAAATGCTGAACATAGCAGAAAAAGCTCATGTGATTTTTCACCCGACATCATAATAATTTTCTAAAGAACCAACTGAAAATGCTTAAAATAATATCTAACAAGTCATTATTTTTGGAAGCTGACATAACTGAGCATAATAAATTTTAAAACCACTAAATATTTGCTTTTAATTTTTTGTTATCGAAAAAGAAATAAATAGTAGTGGTGGTGGCTGTGGCTTGAACGACTTGATTCACAATCTTTTCTTTTTTTTACGAAATTACAGAAACCACTGACTGAAATGTTATTGATGACGTATATAAATTTTTACATCGCAAAATCTATATCATGCTATGTAAATAAAAAAAGTAATAGTAAAGAACATTTGAATAAATTTGAAAGTTATGAAAATTTAAATATATATATATATACATATATGTATATAATATATATTATTATAATATTACATATATAAGGGCAAATTATAGCGGTCAGCGCGTGGTTTTTGCTAAGGGGAGATAAATTTTATCTTTTTTGTCGCAAGGTAGCGCGAGTAGCGTGCACAAAGGGAAGTAACTAAGGAGTAACTAAGGAAATCTCCTGTCTGTAAAGACTTACCGCCATGACTGTCTATTCCGCCTGTGGATGGGTGGGTGTGTAAACCTCTCACAGTTTTGGGGACGTCCGAGGAGTGATCATGGGGCTGCGACCTCTGGAATTTGCGGACTGCCTTACCGACAGCCCGTATTTCCGAGAAAAGTTGCATGAACACGAAAGGGAATTGGAAAGAACGAGTAAATCTATTAAGTGTTTGATAGCTTGCGGTAAAGAACTCATCAACGCTGCTAGAAACCTGTCGAAAGCACAGAAAGCCTTTTCTACTAATCTGAAAGATTTCAAATTTGAAACTATCGGAAACCAACAGACTGACGATGAAGTGGTCATCGCTAAATCACTTAAGGAGTTCGGAGATTGCTTTTTGGCGATTGAGGAAGTGTTCGAAAAAATGCTGGAGAAAGCCAAGGAGATGTTTTTGGCTCCTCTGGAGCGCTTCCGAAAGGAGAATATCGGCAAAGCAAAGGAGGAAAAGAAACAATTTGAAAAACAAACTGCCAAGTTCTGCGCATCACAGGAACGGTACCTAAACTTAAAATCGAAAACAAACGACACAACATTCCAAGAGGCAGATGCTGCCCTTGTACTAGAAGGTAAGCACTTCTATCAAGCATCCATGAAATATGTTCTTTTACTACAGGAGGTTCAGGAGAAGAAGAAATTCGACTTTGTCGAAATTATACTTATGTTTATTTCGAACTGGTTAACTGTATATCATCAGGGCCATGAGGTGGCTAAGGAATTTAAAAGTAATATGAGCGATCTGCAGCTGCGTTTGCAGAAAACGAGAGAAAACTTTAGTAGCACTAGAGAAGAAGCTCAACTGTTGATGAATAAAATGCTGGAAACCCGAGGATCGAGAGGCGAGTTTATCGTTTCTCCTAAATCAAGTATCTACACTCGTCAAGGTTACTTGTATCTGATGGAAAAGAAAGCCTTAGGAACTACCTGGACGAAATGCTACTGTCAATACTTAAAATCTAACAAGAGTTTTTCAATGATTCCATACAACCAGGCAGTCGGAAAGTTAAACGTTCCTGAAACGGGAACATTAACCAGCTGTACAAGACGGGCTTCGGATTCTATTGAAAAGAGATTTTGTTTTGATATTACAATCTCTGACAAACCGGGCATTACCTTAACATTCCAAGCGTTGTCTGAAGATGATCGACACTTGTGGCTGGATGCAATGGACGGCAAGGAACCTACCTACCAAACACCCACAAAGACATCAGAAGACACATATCAGCTGGATGATTCGGGATTCCAGTTCATCACAAAATGTATCAATGCACTTGAGTCTAGAGGGCTCGTAGACCAAGGCCTATATCGTTTAGTTGGTGTCAATTCAAAAGTCAACAAACTAACAACTATGGGCCTTGATCGTCGGAAAGCTGATAAGTTATCTCTGGAAGATACAGGAAATTGGGAGGTGAAGACAATAACCAGCGCTATAAAACATTACCTCCGCTCCTTACCTGAACCTCTGATGACATTCCGTTTGCATGAAGATTTCATCACAGCAGCAAAACGAGAATCCAAACGTCTGAGATTCCATGACATCCATAAGCTTGTTCATAAACTGCCAGAAAATAATTTTAAGATGCTGGAATTGCTCTGTGAACATTTAAAAAAAGTGGCAGACAAAAGTAATATAAACTTGATGACTGTAGCAAATCTAGGAGTTTGCTTTGGACCAACTTTAATGCGTCCTGAAGAAGAGACAATGGCTGCTATAATGGATATAAAATTCTGTAACATTGTTGTGGAGATCCTGATCCACAACAACCATGATATTTTCAGTACAACTCCTGAGGACATTGACATTGTGGATGAGGAGTCTGACCAAGCAGAACCAGCTGCCAGTCTTGAAGCAGCAGTTGCTGCAACAGTTCCTAGTAGCACTGACAAGAAAGAAAGAAAACCATCTGTGGGTATCTCCACTGCCCATGGACCCTCAGCATCTCCTCCTGTATCAGCTACCACATCATCACACTATGGTAGTTTATCTACTGCAAGCACAGTTAGCAGTACTCCAAAAAGTGGCTATTTTTCTGTGACCCCATCACTGAAATATACAAATCAAGCAGGTTTAAGGCCTCAGCAAACTTCAAAAATTGTAATGCGGCACCAAGGTAAAGGCCTTGGACATTTAGGTCAAGGAGGTGTTGCCAGTGGTGGAAGTGCGGCCTTGTTGGCCAGTCATGAACCTAGTCATGGAAGCAGTACAAGTGGAAGCTCTGAATCACTGAATTCTTTTAAGTCACCTTCTACAAATCCGTCTCCGAAATTGGATGCAACTCGACGAACCGCGATCATGCCTGCTATGTATACTAGTGTACCACAGACTGGACTTTTACCTGGGAACCGAATCCCAAATCTTGAAGATATAGGAACGTTTGGCAGTTTCAAGAGACGAAACATGCCTGATTATTCAACTGGTGGTGGTGGAGGAATTGATGATGGAATAAGAGGAGTTGGAGGTTTACGTTCTTCCATGCATAGCAGTATGACTAGTAGTATTGGAGTTCTTCCTGATGTTCCTTCTGCTATGTCCAAGTCGATGACTGAGCCCCGACCAAGGACTGTGAGAACATTGTATCATTGCCAGGCAGAAAATGAATCAGAGTTATCATTTAATCCCAACCAATTTATACACAATGTGAGACCCTCTCAGGAGGCCTGCTGGCTGGAAGGTACACTTGACGGAGTGACCGGACTTATTCCAGAAAACTATGTGGAGTATGTTGATTAACATATTTGTCTGAAGTAACACTGTACCAGCAGCAACATCAGGGCTTGCTTTTTTTTTTTTTTTTTTTTTTTCCATTTTTGGTCATCCTACATTGTGTTCACTTTTGACCTGATAACAATTGATGATTCAATTTTTGGCTTGCATGAAAAAAATAAGGCAATACCTTAAGATTGTAACCCTGTCACTTTTATGAATGATTACATTTTATTTCGGGGGGGGCGGGGAGAAAAAATCTGGAAATAACAAATGTAAACCTATTTCACAAATATTTGAAATAGCATGTGTACATTATGAAATAACATTTCTAAATGTATCCCTAATTTACTTTTTTAAAAAATAGTTATCTTTTAAAATGTTTAAAGTCAACAGAAAAAAAAACATATTTCAAAATTAATAGGTTTGTGAAAATATTAAGTAATTAACTATTTTACACGTGTTGCCAGATTGTTTTTGGTTTTGTTTTCTGACATAAATTATTTTGTCCATAAAACAAATATTAAAAAGATCCACTCTGTTATTTCACTAGTGATGTAATATTAAGGAAATTGTGATAGCTTAAATAGCAGTAACATTTGCTAGCTTCTGCCAGTGTACATTACACTCAAATATTTATGTCAAGAGTTAGCTTTGGAATGTCAGAAGTTGATGATTGTTTGATATTCTAATTTACACTTCTTAATTTCAAGACCTTTTAATCTTACATTATTCTTTAAAATATTTTTTCTCTTAGCAGGTATTAAAATTTATGTTAGCTCTGTTCCACGGTCACAAATTTACTAGATACTATTAAAGAAATTATCTCTGATTAATCTTAAGTGTTAATATTTTCTACAAGTTTCCACTTAGATTAAGGAAAATAAAATTGCTGTAATAATAATGTAAAATAAACTTGGTAATTTAATGTGCATAACAGAATAATGAGCAAGTGAGTTTACTCACTATCTATTAGTCTTCTCTATAATTAGTTCTAATTTCATTGATATAGAATTTATTTAGGTAATAATAGGCCTGTATAAAGTATGTAATTTAGATTTTAAAGTGGGAGTCTTATCTTCACAGGATGCCTTGGAATTATTACAGTTGCTCTAGGTAATTAAATCAGCATTTAAAGTATTTTCTAAAGATCAAACATCATTTTGCTAATTGACATTTACTTACTGTTTGCAGAAGAAACAAATTTCTATTAAGAATGCACAAATTAGTTATGTGTGAATATAGAATTTTTAAGTTTTTATAGTCTTGTTTTAAAAATTGACATTTATTCTATCAGGAAAATCCTATACTTTCTAAATTCTAAGATTTTCTGATCATTGTAATAAACAGGGTTATTGTTATTTTCATGCTAACCAATATTTCCATTGTTGGTAAAACTTTTTTTATGTTAATTTGATAAGTGAAATTTTTTCCTTTCTTTTTGTTTTATTGGTTCTATCTTAGAGCGTCTGCTATTTTGCCAGTTGCATAAAATGTCATAATTTACAATCTTTTGCTTATACCACATGCTTAAAAAAACTTTCTTTTTAAAGAGGGAATAAAGAGGAGATAAAAAAAAAAGCAAAACAGCAATTTTGACAATTTAATTTCAATGAAATTCTTCTTGAGCTTAAAATAACTAATAATAATAGTGAAAAAAATGTACAATGTTTATGCTCCACTCTTTGCATGTGTAAAAGTGGCTAGCATTGTTGTTACTTAATATTATCCAACTGCTCAGCTTGCATCACATTGGCTTATCAACTATCTCATGTTTTAATAGAATTCTAAAGAATGTATATGAAATGGAAAATGATATTCTTGCTTTCACAGTGGTGAAATTTGTTCATTTCCTATGTATCTAGTTTTATAGTTGTTCTCAGTGTGCTATACTTTATCTGGTGGTCACACACAAATCTAAAACATGGAAGCACTCTGGTGTTTATCTCCTTTTTTTTAACCCTCATCATTATTTCAAGTATGAAAATGTATCCTGTAAAAGCTGATAATTATTATCCTGAAAAAATGTTAACAACTATTGCCGTCATTCTATGTGCATTAAAAATGGAATGCTACATGATTTTCCTACTGTTAGGTGTTTTCAAAGCTAAGCATTTAGTACCCCTCCTATATATGCTATTTAGATACCTGTTTAACTGCATGGACTCTAGTAATTCTGTACTTGAGATCATATTTTTATCTTGGGACTTTGTGTTGATAATATTTGAAATGAAATAATTAAAATCGTAAAGATTGTTCTTGCAAATATTCAAATTTGACATTATTTGTTTCTGTAATGAGTAGTTGTGACTGTTTTCAAATAACAAAGAAAATACTTCCCTTTCAAAAGTTGTATTGATTAGTCAATATTTACAATGAGCTCTTTAGATTTCTTCTTTGAAACCTTCATATTTTCTATCTAATTTCAAATGAAATACCAAACTTAATCGCAAAACCAAGCATTCAGCTTTTAATATACATTCTCCCCAATACTGAATTAATAAAATAAAAATTTATTTTGAAGAAGGGGTTTCAAATATGTAATTATTTTCTGTAAATTGTTACTTTCCCAATTTATATATATTAGCATTTTTTTTATTTTTAAATAAATTCAGTTAATGTGCTTAGGGAGTTTGCAAATGTAAAATTTAAGGCAGTGTATTTTTTTTTTTTTTTTAATCAATCTTTGAATTAGTACACAACTCAAATTTGACTAATTCTCAAAATAATGTAGGTGTAAGTTCCATTTTATATTTTTATTTTATGGATGAATGACTGAAGGAAAATTCTTTTCTTTTCCTTAGGCAATATGCTTATTCAATTGATGCATAAATTTTCAATTGCTAATTGCTCCTATTGTAGCAGCTTCTACAGGCTTCTTTTTCACTCTAATAAAAATAAAAGATGGTGTGTTTTGCTGACAAACCTTTATTATTTAAAGCCATTGATATTTGGTAACTATCAAAGGTTTACTTACTTCTGTAATACTGTGCCTGCCTGCCTATTGTCAACATTACAAGTTATCATTTCTACATTACATTTAAACATATGTATTAAAGGAAGCTGCTTTGTGCCTTTTGAATTTAAAAAAAAATTACCTTACCCATAAAAGGCTGCCATTTCCAACTCCATAGCACCTTGTGAGACAATATGCCTCCAGTTGTGTTTTCCTTTTAGAGTTCAAGTGATTACTCTAAAAAATGATAAAATCTTTTCTTTCTCTTGCATTTATTATTCCTAAATCAGAGGCAAATCTTGTCCATCCATCTAACCCTGTTTATATATATATATATATATATATATATATATATATATATATATATATACACACAATTTCATTATGTATAAGCATAATGACCTCTTTTAAACTGCTGCATTTTATTTTTCTCCCTTTTATTCCATCCCAAATCAACATAAAAGTTCTTTCGTTTTTCATTTTATATTCTATGATGGGCAGACAAATGAATTGTTTATATTTTTTATTATCACTTTTTAACAATTTTTTGCTTTTTTTCTGCAACATACAAACATCACATCCCACCGACATGATTATTCCGCCCAGTGGGAACCATGTTTTTTCTCTTAACAAACTTGTCTCTGTTTAGTGATTCACTAAATTTAATATGAATGTGACATTAAGCTTATGCTTCAGTAATCCTTGCTAAGCACTGGAGTTGCATTTTATTGTTAGATGTGTGTGTGTGTATATATATATATATATATATACGCACGCACACACTCTTCTAAATATACAATAATATTGGTAAATATGTAGTAATCAGCAAATGTAAATAATTATAATAACATTAGTTTATTGATAAAAAATATTTTAATAAATAATTACAAAGTTAATTTATTTTAGCTTGAGCATTTAAAAAAAAATTGAAAATGTGCTATCAGTTGAGGTAAAGAAAAATGTAGATTTATTGATATAAAAAACAATTTTTGGAGTAGATATTTCTGGTACCCTCTTTCCTTTTATATAGGTATTATTTCTAATTTTGTTACCCCTACCTCACTTTATTGTAAAGTTCACACAAGATTGTGTTTATCACTATCCAAAATTATATGAAAGTTCTGAAATTAAAACTTTCAGATTGTCTAGTTTTAATGTTTCAGATTAGGGTTTTCCACAGTACCATCTGATTAGGATTCTGTTAGTCTTAGAATTTTATTCAAATTTTGTTTTCATGGAGGTAAATATTTTATAAGGCTAAGTGAAGAGTCTCTTAAAGGAACTTTTTTTTTTTTTACTTCAATTATTTATGTATATTTTTCTACTTGTAAAATCCAGTCAATCAAAATGTATTAGAACATGGATCCACTTGGTGTTAGTATGGTTATGTTTTCAGTTGTGGCTGTTCATCTGAATGTGTTTGTATTCTTTCCTTTTCAGCAAAATCAACTTTGTCACTATCTCTTGTGGGTGGACTCTATTCTGACCTAGATTGGAAGCTTTGACTGCCTCCTACTGCTGCAGCACACATCAGCCTACTTAGAACAATAAAAATTTCTTATTGCAAGATAGAAAAGTCTAACAATGTACATTTTTGTACACCTCACAATTTCTGGTCACTTAAAAAAGATTGAATTTTGTTATTTCTGATCCCTCCTAAAAAAAAAAAACAAAAAAACACAATTGAAAAAGATTGATCTACAACTAATTCTTTGAGAATTTTAATTTTACTTGCTTTTACAAAGAAGGTATAAAGTATTTGCTCAATTCTTAGTGGGAAACATGTCAGAAATTTGACAAAATATCTTTCATTTAAGCATATCAATTTTTTAGTTTCTTAGTATATGTATCTCTAATGATATTTCTCCTAAAATTTAGTTTCTTCAAATATGAGAAAACAAATTGTAATCTTTTCAGAAACCATTGTTTAATTTTCTGAATAAATACTTTCTTAGCAATTTTTTTAATGAAATCATTCCAAGTGTGGTCATGTGATATAAAAACATTTGCTTGTTTTTTTGTTATATTATAAAAAAGAACTAAACAAGAAATAGTTAGTAAATAATGAGCT